TTTGAAGGTTAAATGCCTATCCCGATAATTGAAAACCAGAAAATTCTGTAGATAGTTTATCGAATTTTCACAAAACCCAACTATTCTTTTCTATTATATACCCAAAATGAATAAAAAAAAAGTGAAACATATGAGCGAAAGTGTTATCAACATGTAACAGGAAAATTGCAATACAGCAAGAACAATTACGATATATGAGATAAAGTATAGAAATGAAAGTGATAGTAATATGTAAACAAAAGTAGCATCAATCATGCAACATGCATAATAGTATGTGTGAACGAAAGTGGTATCAACATGCAGCAAGAACAATTACGATATATATGATAAAGCATATGATTGAAAGTGGTAACGATGTGCTAGCGAATGTAGAGCATCAATCATGCAACATGAGTAATAATATGTGTGAGCGAAAGTGGTATCAACATGCAACAGGAAAAATTGCAATGCAGCAAGAACAATTATGATATACGAAAGTGGTAGCGATGTGTGAACGAAAGTAGCATTAATCAGGTAGCATAAGTATAGAGAGACCTCTCTAATGCTCTACCTCTCTAAATACACTCTCAATTTCTGGCCCAAGTATATACGTGACTCCCGTACATGTACTTATTTATATTGTTCTTTAAATACACGATGTTTTAGAAGCTTGGTCATTATGGGTACATTTAGAAAGGTATCTCTGTAATAGTACGTATGAGTGAAAATAGCATTAATCATGCAAGGTGAACAATAATGATAGATACGTGCATGCATATATAACCATAATATATAAAATAGAAGAACTGTCAGTATGGAAAAAAAACATAAATAAATAAATAAATAACGAAATAAAAGCTTAAAGATACATTTTTTTGCCCCATTAATCAATTTTCTCAAAAATGCTCTATCTCCTAGTTCAGGTTAATGAAGGCGTTAAATGCATTATTCTTGAGCGTATAATGAGTATAGAGTCGACATGTAAATTTTTTGAACTTTTTGATTTAACTACGTTAGGGCAATATGATAATAGAGAGGTAAAAGTTTTTATTCGATGAGAAAAGTCTAAAGGTTGGTGAGAAGTAGACAATGGGTTAGATGGTGATTTGAGAATGCTTGAAGTTTTAGGTTTTATGCAAGTCAAGTTTTGTCTTGCTTCCAATACAAATTTAGACACTTTAGTTTCAATTCAAGACAAACCAGATGCTTTCAGCATTTTAATGGCAAATTCAAGGCAGCCTTTGCTTCCTCGTCATTGTAATGAGCGTAATAACTATGATTGACTTTATAATGAAATTATCGAACTTTTCAAAGCTCAACAGGTTGGATGGACAGGTGGTTTATATGAAACAATAGGAAAAGTATTCGTAAATCGTATTGCAACTGCTCTTTGGTATATTGATCTACATCTTTCAACACTAAGTGCACGTTCATATCATCTACTAGCTCTTTTTGCACAGTTGAAAACGTATTAGGATGGTAAATCATATGATGAGAATTATTATACTGGTCATCATAAAAAGAATCCATTGTCTCAACAAAAACTTGTGCATCTTTCGAGTTCTCTTGAGATTTCTATAAGTCAACTATAAGCGAGTAGTGATAGGTAGAATCAAGTAATGCCTGCAGTTCTTTCTTTAATTGAAATTTTGAAAAAATATTCAGACTATTTAATTGCAACAACTGCTAGTATGAATGAACTTCATCATAGCAATGAAAGTGCTCGTAGTCCTGGAAATAATAGTACCATGTACCAAGTTAGTGCTTGTGAATCTCATTAACTTAAAGATGAATATGTTCAATTGGACGATTTATTATCTGAAAAATCATTTTACGAACATATTGAAATTCAACAATATCTTCCAGACGATGCTATAAGCCGATACAAATTTATGAAAGAGTTGCAGCTTACATTTTCTATTGGTATATATAGGTTAGTATTTTGATAGTGTAGTTTCGTGTATATATGGGCATCTATCTTAATAAAAAAGTAATTACGGTATTTAGGCAGCTGAAATTATTCTTATATAGTGCTAAAGTTAATTTTCATATTTGCTGAAATTATTGCCGAAATTTTTGAACTCTTTTCA